AGTCTGGCATTTCTCAGTTCCTACTTTCTAGCTTCATATGTCCAAGGGTCATGAGATTCAAGCTACTGTGGCCATTTGGTTTTTCCTAGTATCTCACCTGTTAAAGTAGCTCTTTTATGGCATTCTTTGACTCTTTTGAAATCCTGTCATTGTCTGGTGAAACACATTACTGTTTTTCTAGGTAAACTTTTAAATCACCCTTTGGAGAAGTGGAAAAGAACTGTTAATGTGTCACTGGAAGTTTCGGATAGAGCCATCTACTGTCTCACGTGCCCTTGGAGTTCTGAAATAGGCTAGGGGAATTTTGGAATGCAAGAATTAGCTAGTAGGCAAACTTCTAGCCATAATTTTGATGAAAATCAAAGAAGAATGACCAGATAATATTTAATACATCTTTTGTAAATTTTGGTCTTGATGTCAGCCTTTTATTTTTCTTCTCAGTTGCTTTAGGTCGTAACCAGCCTTTGAAAAAGGAGAAACCCAAATGGAAAAGCGATTATCCCATGACAGATGGACAATTGCGCAGCAAGAGGGACGAATTTTGGGATACTGCACCAGCTTTTGAAGGCCGTAAAGAGATTTGGGATGCCTTGAAGGCTGCAGCACATGCTTTTGAGAGCAATGATCATGAACTGGCACAAGCAATCATTGATGGTGCAAACATAACATTACCACATGGTAGGTGGTCCTCGAGGACAAAGGGGAACGCTATCAGCTCGTTTCTAATGGCAAGAAACCAAATGGGAAATGTTCATTTTTGTTGCTCTGCATTATTCTACCTCTTTTTCTTTTTAATGTAGCAAAGAGGAACATTTCCCTTTGCTTCTTTCTATAGCTTTCAGCTGGAGATGGGTTTACTTTGTATGTCTGTATTTTATTATGTTTTTAAAATATTTTTAATCTCAAGAAAGAGAGCTCTTGTTAACCTGTGTTTTCTAATTTCTGTATAACCTAGTTCTCCGTTAAGGTTCCTCCCCATTCTTTTAGAGCTTCTACTTCACTGGTTCCTCCCAGCGCTAGAGAGTTGGTCCCCAAACTAGATCTCAGAAGCTGTAGAGACTCAGTGGATGCCCCTTCAGTTGTTATACTTTCCCATCAAGCCCATTTTTAGCTTAACGAACAAACCTAAACTCAGGAGTGAGTCTCAAGGGTTCTTAAGGCCAGTTTTCTGATCGTAGCCTTGAGCGTTATTAGAAGCCTCTCTCCTTTGCTTAGGTATGTGACCCTGTGGACCACCGTACGCTTTGACCGTTTCCAGGGAGACGTGTATGCTGGACCCATGCATGTCCTCCAGCTTGGTCTCCTTATTAGACACACATACAAAATTTTCATGCTATACTGAGATTTAGGTGTTAACTTTATATTCTTTGTTCTTGTGGTTACTGTATTTATAAATTTATTTTTCTCTTCAATTTTTCAAGCTAATATTTTTCTCAGTTGTCTTGTTAGCCCCCTATATATTCACCTGTGTGCATTCATTGTTTTCTATTCATTATCGTACCTTCATTGTTTCTTTTTCAGTCTGTCACATTTTCAGAGGAATAGTGCTTTTCACTGTTTAATCATCTGCTTTATGTCTTTTGACTCTTTTTCAAATAAAAGTCAATTTTCCAATCTCTATTAATTTTCAGAATTAACTGTGCTTCCAAGAAACTTTTTAAAAAATATATTTCATAGCTGTCTTGTTCTTTATTATGAAAGCTTATTAGCATGGGCTTTTGTTAGTATATATTGAGCCCCCACCGTATATAGATCACTTTTTCTACACAAGTATAAAAAGGATCCCTTCCACACTAAAAAATGTGTAATGGAATCCTATTTCGGTATGACTCTAGACCCTATTTTCATGGATAGTCTCTGAATGCTTTACCTCTCATATGATTGGGGTGGACATCATCCTGCTCCATTACCTTTTTTCGGTTCTATAATTTGTCTCCAGATACTAACTTTATATAATATAAAGGGAAGGGCCTTCCTTTACACATAGTTTTATCATCCTCTTTTTAGTATATGTGCTGCCGAAGCGAACATTATCATCCTCTTTTTAATGCCTAGATCCTGTATTTTTTAAAGCAGAATATATGTGTGTAGACCTGCACTTGGGAGTGGGGTGGGGGAGGAGCAGAAGAGTTGTTGATCTGTGATTTATTTAGAAGCCTGAGGTCCAGAACCTTGCAACTTTGTCTTCATTACTTTCTACTTACCATAGTTACCTATAGAATGTCTGGTTGTGTTATAAATTGTGGCCTCGTTTACAAGTTCATGTAGGCAAAGTAGCTGTTTCATGGAAGGCGGGGTCCATGCATTTCCTACTGGATGTGGGCTCAGATTTCCAAAGACTCCAGCCCCTCATTTCTGCTTATCTTTGTGAACTGCCAAGGAAAGTAATGTTGGTGGCAGCCCCACCAGCTCACAGGTTAGGGAGACTTACTCTTGGAAATTTGAGAGCTTTGGATAAGCTTCTGCTTCCCTTCCGTGTTTTTTTTCCCCTGCTTTTACTTTTATTAGCATTTATTTAATGCTAAATTTATTTCCAGGTCATAAGTTTTTCTTTCTTCTGTTTCTTCTGGGAGCTCTTATTCTGTGCAAGCTCTTCTTCTGGTTTAGGAAAAGTCTGCTCTTTTTTAGAGAGGATCATCTCAGCGTGGCAGGGAGAACTCATGTAGGGGGTTCGTCCGCCCATGAGCTCTGTAAGTTCAGCGCTGCGTCTTGGGGGCTTCGTTCACCTGGATGTGACCAGAGAATCTACATCTAAACCTTAAGTCCAGCATTACTCTCTGTATTTTTAAGCATGTGTAGCAGAAATTCAGCACTCTCTTTCGGCCACCAACCCTGCGTCCAGCCCCATCGTTTGTCTTGGGCACACCTACCAACTCCACCATTGTAAGAGCAGACTGGCACACATTGGTTCTGTAAAGTGACAGGTACTTGGTGGCGTTTTGGATATGCATACCCTTGATGACCTGGGCAGTTTCACGAGCGTTCTTAAAGTGAACACAAAGATTTGAACCTCTTGATTTGCATAATTTTGCGGGA